TTGTAGAAAATTACAGAATGTGCTTTGTAAATTTAGTTTGTACTATTAAATACTTTTTTATTATTTAATAACCACACAATCAGAGGAAGTATTTCATTACAACAGTATTGACATATTCAATAACAATTTCCAGAGCTAAGATGCATCTCCTTCAAAATGGGCTGTAAATTTTTAGGTTTACAGTTGAATTAATACAGTTATACAATATTGTACTCAGTATAAACCCTATAAGACATAAAACTAAATGAGGTTTTAAGCTTTAAAAAAGATTGCCATTTTGCTGTTAAAATACAGTTTCATACAGAAAAATTCATTTTCAATACAATTGACACTAAGATGCACATGCACTTCTAATCTCTATAGATCTGATTATTACTAGTCACAGTCGATTACTTTCTGAGCTCCTTGGCATCTGAGCATGGATATAAAGTCATCAGGTAGATTTCAATGGTAATGTTTTTCACATTCACCAATTTTTTTAATTATGTACCATTAAATACTTTTTAATGTCACAAAATAATTTTTGAAACTTCACTTATATTTCATTTATTGTTTTTTCTTTGTCATATTTTTTTACCTTATATTTTTATGTGCATGAGTATTTTGCCTCTATGTATATAAATGCATCCATGTGTGCAATGCCTGTGGAGGCCAGAAGAGGGCATAGGAGTCCCTGGAACTGAAGTTACAGACAGTTAGCTGCCATGTAGGTGCTGGGAGTTGAACCTAGGACTTCTGGAAAAGCATCTGTTCTAGTTTGCCTTCAATTGCTGTGATGGAAACATTGGCCAAAACCAACTTGGTAAGGAAAGGGTTTGACTTACATCTCTGAGGTCACAGTTCATCACTGAGGGAGCCCAAGGTAGGAACTCAGGGCAAAAACCTGGAAGCAGGAGCTGAAGCACAGGCCATGGAGGAACGCTGCTTACTGGCTTGATCCCCTGGCCTGTGCTCAACCCATTCTTATACAATACACCTGCCCAGGGATGGTACTGCCCACAATGGGCTGGGCCCTCATACATCACTCAACAATCAAGAAAATGGCCCACAGACATGGCCACAGGCCAATCCAATGGAGGCAATTCTCCATTTGAGGCCCCCTCTACCCAGATGTGTCAACTTGACACCTAAAGCTATCCAGCACAACAGCCAGCGCTCTTAACCACTAAGCAATCTCTGCAGCCCCATTTTACTTTTTTAGATAGGATCACATTGTGTAACCTGGCTAGCCTAGACCTTGCTGTGTAGAACAGGCTGGTCTTGAACTTGTGGCAACCTGCCTGCCTTTGCCTCCCGAGTGTTGGGATGCAGGTGTGCACCACCACACCCCACTTGGAAGTCTCGTTTTAATGGCTGTATAATATGCCATTCAAAAAAGCCATTCCCTTATGTTCTGACATGTGTTTCCTCATTTGCTATTTTAAAGTAAAGATTTTTCACATTAACCTTCATCTGGATTTCTGGTAATGAACTATAGAAATGATCCCTGAAAATATAGTCTTTTCATCTGAGTTTATGAATAGTTTATTTTGAGAAAAGTTCTTTCTAGATTAAAAAAAAAATCCATTCATTTAAAAGTAGATGCAGGGGACTGGAGAGACTGCTCAGTGGTTAACAGCCCTGACTGCTCTTCGAGAGGACCCAGGTTCAGTTCCTAGCACCCACATGTCAGCTAACAATCATCCTTGACTCCAGTTCCAGAGGATTTGAAGCCCTCTTCTGGCCTCTGCAGACACCAGGCAAATACATGGTGCATTTACAAACATACAGGTCATAACACTCATACACATAAAATAAATAAAATATTTAAAAAATAATAAATAATAAATCACATACAGCAGCCCGTGAAATGGCTCAGCCAGCAAAGGTGCTTGTCTTGAAAGCCTGCTGACATGAGTTTGATTCCTGGAATCCAGATAAAGTTAGAAGGAAAGAACCAACTCCACCAAGAGGTCCTTTGGTATCCATATGCATGCCGTGGCAAACACACACACACACACACACACACACACATACACACAAAATAATAATAATAATAATAATAATAATAAATAAACACATGTTGTTGAGGGTCTTGGGACACTGCTTTCTATGAAAGCACATGATGCCTTTATGCAGAAGATAGGACAGCAATTAATATTTGTCTTGAATTGAAAGTTAGCATAAAACAAAAGATAAGATGTTTAAGATGAGATGTCTGGGTTTTGCTCCCTCTGTGTCCTTACCCTTGGCAAAGTCTGTCTCACTCTGTTGGCCTTGACTGTCAAAATAACTAATTTTAAAACAATCTCAGTTTGTTCCATCACCCATAAAACAGAGGCATACCAGGCCTGAGAGTCATCTGGAGAATTAAAATGCAATCGTATAAGTGGAAATCACTTCATAAACATAAAATTCGAACAACTATAAACTATCATTTTTGAGATATGCAAGGGGCTGGAGTAGCATGAACGTTACAAATTAATAAAGGGTATCTTCTCCCACAAGGCAACCTTATAGAATACGTAGAAATTTCAATGCAGTAGAGAGTCTAGAATTTCCCATGTATATTTGAGCCTAGAACTTTTTAATTTCTATCATATGTATTTAATACCCAAGTTGCTTGGGGAAATTGTAAGTATTAACACAAATACTTCAAGAAATACAATTCTGTGGCTTGATTTCACATAGAGTATAAGGACCACGAAGGCAAGCACACTGTTTATAACACGCCCTGGTGTATCCTCAGGGCACAAAACAGCTGCAAGCGTACAACAGAGGTTCAACAGCACATGTTGGATAATGAATATGCTTTTAATTAGACTTATTTGAAAACAGCCTCCGAAAATAATTTGTAAGAATGAAGGAAAACGGAAGTGTTCATACACTGCTTGTAAATGTATAAATTGGTTACAAGTTTTAAAAAGTAGCTTTGCTGGTGCATCAAGTGCTCATGCTCGCTCACCAAGCTGGACAATTTTGAAATTCTATTTTGAAAATTATCCTAAATATGAAGAAAATGTGCCTGAAGATACCCAGGAGATCTCAACTTGTTTGAAATGGCCAGCTGCTGTGGACAGCATCTGAATTATGTTGAAAGTTATAAAACAATTAGGTTACAGGATCCATTTTAAGGATTACTCTGCAGCCATTGGCATGATGTTCATAAAAATTTCTTAGCTTGGGGAGCTAGAGAGATGGCTCAGTGACTAAGACTATTGACTGCTCTTGCAAAGAACCTGGATTCAGTTCCCAACACCTACATGGTGGCTCATAACCACCTGTAACTCCAGCTCCAGCATATCCGATGCCCTCTTCTGGCCTCTTTGGGCCTCAGGCACACATATGGCACACATACGGTACACATACATATATGCAGGCAAAACACTTGTGCACATAAAATAGAAATAAATCTCCTTTTTTAAAATAAATCTTAAAAGGTTATGCTTTTTTAAAGTTTTTAAATTTTTTTCATAGCTTGGAAATTTGCTTATAGGAATGTATTCACAATCCACATATAATTCTGTATCCATTTTCTTCTTGGAAAAGGCAAGATACTAAATTACATAGATTGTGAATCTGTATGTATAAGCACAATCACAAAATAGAGACTATTGAGTACAACTTTGTCACCTGTTCTCTGTATCTGACATATGTTCATTTCTATACTTTTCCTAACAAACTTTAAGGCAGGAACTATTATAATACTCATTTTATAGCTAAGAAAACTGAAACCCAGAGAAATGATGTAATTGAATAACGTCACAGCACCATTGAGATTTGAACCCAGGCAGTTTACAGTCTAAAAATATTCTGGAAAACAATTCACCACCTGTGGATGGCAGGGGAAAAGGCAAATCTTTCCTTCTACTTTTATCCATTAAAAAAGTAATGATGAAATTACACTCTTAAATGAGTAAATTGATAAATTAATCTTTATCCCTATTCGATATCTGAGCAGAAACTTTTCCTTTTAAATTTATCATAGAGCTCCTTGTTACAACCAGAAACCCTGTTGTTATATCTACCAGTTGATTTTCTTTCCTGTGGAAATTTCAAATAGGAATTAAGGACGGGCATGGTGGCACACGCCTTTAATCCCAGCACTTGGGAGGCAGTCAGGCGGATCTCTGTAAATTCGAAGCCAGCCTGGTCTACATAGCGAGTTCCAGGCCCGCTGGGACTACAGGGAGACCCTATCTTTAAAACACCAAATATATATATGGATTAAAAATGAATGGGTTGTTTTGAGGCTGGAAAGATGGCTCAGTGGTTAAAAGCACCAGCTCCTCTTTCAGAGGACCTTATTCGGTTTCCAGCACCCATACATGGCAGCTAACAACCATCCTCCAGTTCCGAAGCACTCTCTGACCTCCTCCCCCGACATTGCACGACACGGGTGCACTTACATACACGCAGGCAATACACTCATACACATAAAATGAAAATAAGCTAAATATTTTTTAAATGGGTTGTTTTTGTGAATGCAGAGAAACTGACCGGGTTTTAAGTTTAGCTATCATATTTACTTAAAATTTGGTTCTATTTCAAGTCTGTGTGTGACTCTGTCCTACCCAGAACCGAACACTTAGGCACCAGAATGGCACACGGCGTCAAAAATCTAATAAGCCAGGGCTCCTGTGAGACTAGAAAGAAAGAGGTGAAGAGAAAACCAGAACAGATACAGCCGAAGTAAATGAGAATGGGGAGTTTGCCCCAGAGATTGCAAGGCTCCTTTGTGGGTTTTGTCTTAGCCTCTGATGTTGACGATGCAACGAAATGAAACAGAAGTCACTCTATTTATCTAATTATAAACTATAAAACAAGGCCAGCACATCTCTCCTATACTCAGGCCCGCTCAGCCAGTAATTTAAATTTAAATTTAAATTTTCAGACTCAGTGCGAGTTCAGGAGCCCCATCCCAGCCTATAACCATCTAGCCCCATATTAGAGACTACAACTCCCAGCAAGCAAGAGGTTCCCGCGCATGCGCCCTAACAACTTGTGCGTACAGTTCCCAGAGAGCCTCGCAGTGACGCCAGCGCGCGCGTGCGCTCTGGCCTTGCTCTCTTGATAGCCCTCGGGTTTGACCTACAGTCGCCCGGGAGAAGATGGCTGCCCCCGCCGCGTCCGGGCTGTCCCGACAGGTCAGTGAAGCTGGCGAGAGGGTCCCTCCGGGGGTGGCGCTACGCTGCTCCGTCCCACGGAACGGCTTCCAGGGAGCGGGTGCGGGGCTGCGCGGTCCTGACCTAGAGGTCCTGGGATCGCTGACCGGAGAAGCTCCAGGCAAGGGCGTAGGTCAGGGAGGCCGAATGGACGGCTTAGCCAGGGTGGGAAACTCTTCGGAGGTAGCTGCACTCCTCGGTCTGAAATGCTCAGTATATGTTAAGAGCGTTTCATGTGTATATAAAAGCTTAAAGTCTCCTCTTGAGCTGCTCAGCTGGGAAGCGATAGTGCTAAGATTAGAACCCATGGAGTCGAAAGGAAGCTGGAAAAAGGGTACACCTTACACTGCCGCATCAGCTCTGATGCTGTACATCGCATGGTCAGCCACTGCATGCATAATTTTTCCAAAAGCGTTAGAAAGCCTCTTAAAGCCCCATTCCAGAGCTGAACGTTTGTGCCCTTGCAGGTGCTTTTTTTAAAAAAAAAAAAAATATCTATTATTTTTATTTTATATGTATATTACCTGCATGTGTGTAAGTGCACCCGTGTCGTGCAGTGCCCGAGGAAGTCAGAAGAGAGTGTCAGATCCCCGGAACTGGACTTCCAACTTGTTAGCTGCCATGTGGGTGCTGGAAATTTAACCCGAGTCCTGGGCAAGAGCAGCCAGATGCTCTTAACCACTGAGCTATCTCTTCAACCCCTCAGGGCCCTTTTTAAACTATGGCTTTTTCCTTTGCTAGACAAGATACCACCTCTAAGAACCAAAGCCTGTTCCCATATCAATTGGTACTCAAAGAATTTATCTTTGGTTTTAGATAGCATTTAGATTTCTAAGCAGGTTTGTCTGCTTAGAATCATGACTGGAATCCTCCCACTTTTATTAAAATTCTTTTTTAAAGTATAGTATTATAAATGCCAGGGGCTTAGGGGTTTTTTTGTTGTTTTTGGGGGGTTTTTTCCTCAATTTTCTTTTGAAAAACTCAGTTTTGGGGAGTCAGCATTTTTTTCTCTCATACTGAGTGCTAGCCTCATCCCTCATCACTTAGGGAGGGAGGTTCCTAAGCATTGGGATGATTCTACTAAATTTACTAAAGGTAATAAAGTGCAGCTCACATTCACATAACCTGTGTGATAATGTAAAGGAACATATGAACCTACTTATTTAGAACCGTCTTAATATATTGCTGATCTAAATGCAGAAATTCTTCATGTAACCCTGTTTGATCAGTCTTCTTTACTTCTGAAGGTACGGTGCTTCAGTACATCTGTGGTCAGGCCCTTTGCCAAGCTTGTGAGGGTATGTTAATTTATATTATTTTGTCATTGAAAGCCAATGAAAGTGTGTGTTGACAAGCAGTGCACTTAGAACATGTGGTGAAACCTCTGCAAGATTTGCTTTCTAAATATGTGTGCCTGGTGTGGAGAGGGATGGATTTGGGTACCTCTTATTCAGAGGGCATATCCCTTAACCTTTAAACCTAAGAATGTCTTTAAAATACTTGTTTTCGGCCAGTAAGATGCGTTCAGCAGGTAAAGGCTCTTTGAAGCTCAGAGCCTGAGTTGGATCCCAGGGGCCCACATGACAGAATGAAAGAACAGACTCCTGCAAGTTGTCTTATGACCTCCACGTGTGTGCCATAGCATGCACAAACCCACAGACAACAAATGAATGTTTAAAAGTTTTTTCGGTTTTTCCTATTAATCCCCCATAGGCAAGGTGACTCTTTTTCTTCTTGAGGAAGGGAACATCTCCAATAAAAGGAAGTGACACGCCTGGGTTTCTAGTGTCATGAGAGGCATTGATAACTTGGTTGCAGCTCCTTGTTGCATCTGGTTTCAAGCAGCTAGTAACTGATGCTTGTGTTCTGCACCTCTTTTCCAAACAAAACCAGTACTGATGGGCCTATTGCATTAGGCACCCCAATTCTCCTTTCAAAGTCTGCCAGTCCTTCTTTTCAAACAAGAATTGACTTCTGATGAAGACAACTCCAACCCCCTTTAATTTTTCAATTAGTTCCTCTGTGGCAGAATTGATTCAGCATCTTAGCTCACAGATCTGAAGAAGTACTGGGCTGTCGGACACTGTCCATCACCCATCCCAGTCAACACTGGGCTCATACTGTCCTTGGGGGGCATAGCATAAGGCAGCAGCCATAATACCAAATGCACGTCCTTAGGGAACCACATGAGCTGGAGCTTGGAAAAGTACCAGCCCTTCTGCACAGCACCGGTCCTTCCAAACCTCTGTCAGCAGTGCCATCTTGTTCATGTGGGGAACATCCTAAAACACTACAGACGGGGCGTGAGAGGCTGCTCCTCACGTTTTATGAAAGGAGAAACTGAAGTACTGAAATTTGCCTATACTTAAAGTAGTTTAAAACTGGGCCAAACGAAATCTTTCTCATTTAAAGTCTAACCTACCCACTACACCCATATGGCAGCCCTAAGTACATGTAGCCACTCAGCGTGTAGAAAAGTTTCACAATTTACTTTGGAAAATAATTCAAACCTCAAGCACTTGGTGAATTCCTGGAGGGCTGTTAAGTGGAACGTTAATGAGGAAACTGAAGGAGGGGTTACACTATGTCTCTGAAATGTGTGAAAGTATGCACTGTGTACACTTGAGAACTGAATTATTAATGAATTCAAAACAGCATAAGTTTGTCTTAAAACAATTGGATTACAGATAGGTAAAGCTAGAAGATCCTTTGGATACTGTGTCTTCTGCCTCTCAACAGTAGAGGGTCCCGGCCAAGGAAATGTCCCCAGTTTGAGAATTCCCATTCAGGACTGCTCCTTGATGACATGTTTAAACTTGTTCACTGTGAGATGTATTTTTTAAGTTACAGTTACTTAAAATAATTTATCTTGTCTCTCCTTCTTCCTTACCCCGCCTTTTGTTTCAAGCCCCCTGTTCAGATATATGGCATCGAGGGTCGCTATGCCACCGCCCTCTATTCTGCTGCATCTAAACAGAATAAGCTGGACCAAGTGGAAAAGGAGTTGGTTCGTGTGGGAGTAAGTAGGTTTCTTGTCTGTTGCATGTTTCTATTTGTACATAGTTGCTTTTATTTTATTACTCATCCTAATGAGATAGAACTCACAAAAAGAATCTTTAGGAACAACAAAATGTTTACTGTAAAAATACTGGGTTTTTCCGGGCATGGTGTTGCATGCTTTTAATCCCAACACTTGGGAGGCAGGGGCACTCAGATCTCTGTGAGTTCAAGGCCAGCCTGGTCTACGTAGTGAGTTCAGGCCAGATGGGGCTACAGGGAGACCCTGTCTCAAAAAGCCAAAAAAAAAAAAAAAGCTGGGTTTTGTTGTTCTGAAACAGTTGTGTGCAGCAGGAGCTAGCCCATACATAAGGACATTAGCATTAGAAACCTGAGCTTCCCAGTTAAGACAAGAGAGAGGTATAAAATCAGAATAAAAGACTTGATTTAAGAAAAGTTGCCATTTCAGAAAATAATTTAAAGCTCAGCTTTGGAGGCCAGAAGAGGGCGTCAGATCCCCTGGAACTGAAGTTACAGATGGTTGTTAGCTGCCATGTGGTTACTGGGAATCAAGCCAGGGTCCTCTGTAAGAACAGACCTTTCTCATTAACCATCGAGCCATCTCTCCAGCCCCAAATGTCTTGAATATGTTTTCACTTTATCAAAAGTATATTTCTTCATGAAAGTTTCTTCAGAAACTTTCCCTAGGTTTTAATTTTTTTATTATGTTTATTTTTTTTTTATGATCTTTCTTTAAAAGCAAAAATACATGTAAGAGGTGGGTGTGGTAGCACACATCTTTAATCCTAGCACTCAGGAGGCAGAGGCAGATGGATCTCTGTGAGATGGAGGCCAGCCTGGTCTACATGGTAAGTTCCAGGCCAGCCGTGGCCACAGGGAGACCCTGTCTCAAAAAGACCCCCCCCCAAAAAAAAATACATGTAAGAAACTTGATGTGCTAATTTAATATTTTTTCAAAGAACATCATTTAATCCCCTATAAAATCATGATGTAGTATTTTCCTAAAGTCAGCCAGGAAAGTGCATTTGGTTCTGAACTTCTCTTCATGTACAGCTGGGTTCATGTGCTCTAAAGAGTTAAACTAATCTTTGTATTTTTAGCAACTCCTGAAGGATCCCAAAGTGTCTCTTGCTGTTCTGAACCCCTACATTAAGCGTTCCATTAAAGTGAAAAGCCTGAAAGACGTCACAGCAAAGGAAAGGTTCTCCCCCCTGACGACCAACCTGATGAGTAAGTGTGGAAACTTGGTTTGAGTTGTTTTTCACCCAGTACACATTTGGAGGTCAATGGACAGTTCTCTTCTTCCACCACGAGTTCTAGGAATTGAACTCAGTGGTCAGGCTTACATGGGAAGTGGTTTGTACCCACTGAGCCATTTCACCAACCCTCTTAAAACATTCTTCTAGAAGTTTGTTCCATGGTCCAGGAGCATCAGCATCACTCAGGGCCTGTTGACTATAAAGTATCTCAGGACTCACCCCAGCCTAGGTCCAAGTCTGCATCTCATCTAGCTTCTCAAGTGACTTGTTTATACATTGAGATATAAGAATGTCTGATTGCATAGGCAATAGTTTCAACTCAGAATTTCATAATGAAGAAAGGATGTGTGGCCCATGGTTAGTGTAAACCTCGAATTACAGATGTTTGCATCCTGTAGTACATTTGCATTGCTGGTACAAGCCTTTGTAGCAAGTCAGAATATGAATTCTAAAGTATTTTCATATCACCGCCTTTGAAGGTAGACAGTATGCTAATTTGGGGATGGGTAGCCAAGAATGGGGGTCTATGCTGTAACTATGAAAATCCGATTGTTAGATGAGTACAAGGAATCTGTTACAGATGTGTAGAGAGCAAAATCCCTCTACGCCGACATACAAATACTTGGTAATTTAAATGTTTATAAAAAGACAGTAAGTACATTGTTCATGTGTGTGCATGCCTATGTGATTGTGGAGGCCAGAGGTCACACTGTCTCCCTCAGTCACTCTGCACCATATCTTTTGAGATGAGGTGTCTTACTGAACCTGGAGCTTGCTGATTCAGCTGGCCTGGCTGGCCAGCGAGCCCTTGGCCAGTGCTCTTGCTGTCCCTGGCTTCCCCAGCACCGGGATTCCGGACAGTGCTGCCGGCCTGCCTTCTTTACTTGGGTTCTTCGCTTGCATGGCAGGTGCTTTGCCAACTGAGCCACAGCCAAGTCCCATCCTGAACAGCTTTTTAAGAAACATTTTGGGGGCAGGGGAATGCAGGTGTCATGGTGTGACTGCATTTGGCAGTCAGAAGACAGCTTGCAGGAACTGGTTCTCCCTCCATCATGTGGGTTTTGGGATTGAAGTCAGTGTCCTCAGACTTGGCAGCAAGCACCTTTACCAATTGAGCCAACTTGCCAGCCCCTGAATATACTTTAAAAAAACATATCTTCTCCATTCTTTGGTTTGTTTGTTTTCTTGAGACAGGGTCTCACTGTGTAGCCCTGGCTGGCCTGAAACTCACAGTGTAGGGCAGATAGGTCTCAAACTCACAGAGATCCACCTGCCTCCTGAGTGTCAAGATTACAGGTGTGTGCTACCATACCTGGCTTCTCCATTCATTCTTAAAGGACTTTGATTATGGTATTTTAAGGTCACAAATTGAAATTTGCTTTGGTTCTGAGTCAGTGAATTTCATGTCCCTCCCTCAGATTTACTTGCTGAAAATGGTCGCCTAGACAGTACACAGGGTATCGTCTCTGCCTTTTCCACCATCATGAGTGTCCATCGTGGAGAAGTGCCATGTACAGTGACCACTGCGTATGTAAGTCATGGGCTGTTGCTGCTGCATTGGCCTCGACAAACGAGGTAAAATCTAGAATTTGGGAAAAGTGGCTTGTGACTCATGGAGTTGCTGTCATCTTTTGTAAAGTGCTGTGAACCTCCACTTTGGAAGGGCCGGTGTGTGTCTTAGTAGTAATACCAGTGAGTATCCATTGTTGGGGAACCCTGCTGTTAGGGTCGCAGTCTCTCCATGTCCGGATAGCTGCGAGCCGGCTCGGCGCCTAATGGAAAGACTCCCCTTTTCAGCGGGGCGCCTCCTGCTTTCCTCCTGGCTCACTTTGAAGTGGCTGCCACAGATGCCTTATCGGAAACATGACCTCTGGCATAGAAAGGTTTTAATCAGGCACTGTCTGACAGCATAGAAGCCCCGCGCCACATGTAAATGAAGCATACTACAGAGCACCTATCAGCTGAGGCTTTTGCTACTGCCTCCACACTATAAATCTTCTAGTTTCACCCTAATAAAGCGGAGCTGTATCACTGAATCCGACTGAGCTGTATCCTGTGTTTCACTGTGCCTGGGACCAGCCTGTGAGCAGTCTTCCCGGAAGAAGCTGTCCTTCCATCAACATTCACTCGCGAAGCTTCTGCGTTCGCCATTCCTGCGCTCCCCGCCTCGGCTCGTGGGACGGTGGCCAACGTCCCGCGGGCACAGTGAGAGCGTCCTGCAGCTAGCCTGAGCCTCCCGCAGCTTGGCGCAGAGCCCCCTGCAGCTTGGCACAGAGTCTGCACTCGCCGCGGACCCGCCGACCTGCAGAGCCCGCCTGCACTCCCAGCCGCGGAGAGCCAGAGACCCGCCCAGCAGCGAGACCCCAGCCAACAATCCATAGGGACTGTAGTTTAGGTTACATTTAAGGGACATCAATATGTGTTAGAAAATAGTGATTTATGTCCCATGGTAGGTTTGAATTATTTTTTTAAGTGCCATATTAAGTACTGAAACGAGAGTATCTTCTATCTGGTGGCAGATGGGAGGGAGGCAGAGTGAACAGGCCCTTTGACTTGATGCATGTTTTGTAAAATCTAGCCACTGTTTCTTCCTGACATGAGCTGGGGACTTTGTAATTTCTTACTAGCCATCAAGAGATGGATGTGAGGCTGAAACAAGGTTGTCCTTACTCTGTAGACAAGGAAGCTGGAGCTCAGGGCAATTAAGTAGCTTGTCAAGACACACAATGTAGAATCGGGATTTGAACACACATCTTTTCTTAGAAGTCCCGTGTTCCTTGAACAGCACTATATAACCTTCCTACAAGTAAATTTGTCTTAAATTGTGATTTCTTCCTAATAGTGCAGGGAAACCATCTGGGGTATAAACATGCGTAGGATGTGGTATGTGACTTGTAGCATGCAGCACCCAGGGTCGTCTAGATTAGTAGTTGTAGTGTTGGAGAGTGTGGTTTCCAAGAGCTTCGCAGTGGTTTTTGTGTGGCCGGGCCTTCTGAACCAGTGGCACTGGAGGGTGTATCACAGTGCAGCACTTCTGGTCCCCAACTTCAGACAGGAGCCCCAGGCCTGCCTTGGTGACGCATGCCTGCTGTAGTTTTCCCTTTCCTTTTAACTATGGACGTTGCTGTTTTGCTTTATCTAAAGGATGTTTGGTTCTTTTTCAGCCTTTAGACCAAGCTGTTCTCTCTGAGTTAAAGATAGTGCTGAAGAGCTTCCTGAGTCAAAACCAAGTACTGAAATTGGAGGTTAAGGTGGGTTCAGATATTTGGTGGTGTTTCTTTTGGTTATCTGAAGCCTACACTGGCTATAGAAAGTGTCAGTGGAAAGCTCGATCTTAACTGAACTCCACACATTTCTGTGCGTGGTTGCCGTCTGCTTTCCTCGGTGTTTCATGTGTTTGTGCTGCTGGTTCTGCTCAGCCTCGGGGCACTTAATCGAGAATGTTGCATCCTCACATTTGCTGCCTCTTTTCTTTCCTAGACCGATCCTTCAATCATGGGTGGAATGATTGTGCGCATCGGGGAGAAGTATGTTGACATGTCTGCTAAAACCAAGATCCAGAAGCTCAGCCAGGCCATGCGGGAGCTGTTCTGAAAGTCCCGAACTCGGAGCAGCAGTCAGACGGTCCTGAGCAGCCGGTGCTGAGCGGATTGCCCTTTAGAGGCAATGTGGAGTTTTCATCTTCCTTCCATTTCCCCTCATTTGAAGGTTAAAAGGCCGTTTGGGCTGGAGAATTCAGGATACGTGTGTTACTGTTTGGAATTCATTGATTAAACATCGTACCTGCACACAACAAGCTAGTACCACTTTCCAAAATCTCATGTCTTTGAGGGGTGGTTGAGGACTGTGGTCCCTAACCCTGCATGGTTTGATGTCCTCCAGGGAGGCCTCCCTAACTGAAAGGCTCTTGGCCCTGTGTGACCCCTTAACCCAGGGTACTCTGGGGCTCTCGTGGTCACATCCAGCACCTCTACTGCACTGCATTGCGATACAGGTGGAGCAGACATCATGCCACTTGACAGATGAGGAAAGAGTGAGGAGCCCTGCTTAGGGAACACATACAGGTCTGGCACTCTTCACGCAGGCTGACTCACCATGTGGTGAGCAGCACTGTTCACCTGCAGCTGCTGAAGCCAGCAGCTAAGCCTAGAGGCAAGACCTTGTGCCCTCTTCCCCTGTCCCTCAGGTGCTCCCAGACAACGCATTAGCCAAAATGACGCTCATGGACCATTCCCAAATGTCTTCCCTCTTAGGCTACTAGAGGTGATAGAGTCCCTGGATAGCCGGTAGCCAGTCCTTGGCTGCCTTCCAAGAGTATCTGGCAAACAAATTGATTCCTTCCCCACAGAGTGCCTTGGGCAGAGGCTGGATGACTGTAGGCTAGGAAGCTTTAGAAGGCAGTGACAGGCACAGGGCTGGTTATGCTGTGCCTTGTGTGTCCTCCACCTGTCTGACATGCCCAGCAAGCCAACCACCAAAAACCTAACAGGAAATACTGAGGCCTCAGTGCTCTCCCAGGAGCTCAGGCAGTGGTTGGCCCATAGCCCTTCCTACCTTGCTGGTAAGCATAGGACAGACCACTGTCCTTAGACATACCTGACCACAAGACTAAATCTCAGCAAGTGGAAAAGAGGAGGAAATAAGATGTGTCCCGGCCTGCATTGCCTTCACCACCAGGCTGGCAACCCTCTGGGTGGTTTCCTTTCCTTCTGGCTGGATATAGGTAAGATGGTGGGAGCCAAAGCAGCCACGCCAGGGGAAAAGCAGGTGATGCCGAAGCACAGTCACCTACCAAGCCTCCTCACTGAGCCCGGGCTGTTAGCACAGGAAGAAATAAACCTGTTGGCGAAGCTGTGTCCCACTCCAGTGGAATTTGCCTCTGCAGTCAGCTCAGCCAAGACCAGCCTCCTACCCTGGGCTAGCTCGAGAGCTGTGAGACCCTGAGCTCGCCAGCCTTACACACCACAACTCCAAGGCTCCTATAGATAGAACCACTAATGTACATGTACAAACATTACATGTACAAAATCTTTGAGGCAGACCCTTGCTGGCTCCCAAATCCTCCAGAATCAACCAGCCATCTTTCTGTTGATTATGTCTATAATCCCAGCACTTAGCTGAAGCAGGGGCATCCATGAGTTTGAGGTCAGTCAGTCTGGGATACTTAAAACCTTGTCTCAAAAAGCAGAACAAGGCCAGGCGTGGTGGTGCATGTCTTGAATACTAGCACTCAGGAGACCCAGGCAGGTTGGATCTCTGAGACTGATCTCCAGATCAGTCTGGTCTACATAGTTTAGACCAGCCAGAGCTACTTGTCTCCATAACACAAAAGCAAAACAAAAAAACCATCAAAATATCGCCATTTGGTACTGTTCAAACAAATAAGGGAAAAGAGAGCCAAACAGCTATAATACTATGTAGCCCTTAAAAGTTAAGCTGTGGGGCTGCAGAGATGGCTCAGTGGTTAAGAGTACTGACTGCTCTTACAGGGCACCCAGGTTCAGTTACCAGCATTCACATAGCCCCAACAACCATCTATAACTCCACTCCCAGGGCCTCTTCTGGCCTCCCCAGGCATTGCATGACATGGGTGCAACTTGCATCCATGATACACACAAAAAAGTAAATTTTCTGTGAAAGAATGCAGAGAGCTGAACCGAAATAAGGCAGACAAAATGAGATTTATGGGAGCTGTTTAATTAAACAGTCCTTGCATATGGGACCCAGTCAGGGCATGTTAATTGTTAAACAGTATGTGTTTAATGAACCATGCTGGGTATGTTAGCACGAGGGCCTCAACAATTTAACATTTAAGCCTGGCCTGGTGGAGCATCCTGCAGTCTGAGCACTGAGCATGTGAGGCAGTAAGATAAGGAGTCGAGGCCCTGTCAAAGACACAGACTACAAACTACAGGACACCTCCACTAAGTTTCTGTGGTTCTGTTTCTTCTGGGCTTGCTCTGTTTTCTGTGAGACAACCTTGGCCTTTTCACTGCCCTCAGCCACTCACAGCATCTCCTAGGCCCACAGGGTAGCATTCTGTTCTCAAGAACACTTGGCACAGGATTCTCTCCACAGGGCTAACTTTTATTTGAAGAAAGCACAGAAGAGCTGGAAATGTGGTTGATTTGTTTTGCTTTTTAGATTTATTTTTGCATAATTTTTCTTGTATGACTATCACCTTATCTCTGGGAAAGGACACAACAGGAAGAGATGCCATTTTCAAGGCCATTAGCTTCCTGTGTGTCAGCAAGGAGTTAGGGCAGAAAGCGCTCACAGCTGGCTTCACTTGTTTTATTCATGAACTATGTGAATTTAAACCATACAGGTCAAAATGACCAAAGAATTGTTTAAAGAGAATTTTCTTTTTAGGTTCAAGATGCACAGGAATAGTGATTTGTACTGATACTGCCAATGCTATAAAGAAAAAACCCTCAGTTGTCATCTAAATTGGTAAAACTGAACATTTCACACATAAGTTGCCAAAGGAACACTCAAACATCAAAATAACCTCAATTTTTAAAAACCAAAATCTGGTTGGCTCTGTTTCAATGAACCTTAGACAAACACATAATTATACAGTGTATCATAATGTCCAGTAATTTTTAGAACTGTTAACATTACAAAGCAGACAGTATCTCCCTTTTATGAAAAATTAAATAGTACCATTATTTGGCAAAAGAAGTATATTACAATAAGCAGGACACCCATCGGGAGTGGCCTAGTCCTACCTGCAGGCAGGGAGCAACATGCCACTGTGGCCCATACCCATCACAAAGGCTGACCTGGGAAGGCTCACCAGCGCTGTCGGGGAAGGGCCCATGTTCTGGTTTGTCTGCAAACTCTTAGAACACCCAGGGACAAAGGGCAGTGGTTTGACTGGCCAATTCATCCTCACTCAGCCCTGTGGTCACTCCGGCCCAGAGGGCATCATTCTAGAATAAACAGGGCCTATGTGGGCAGAGAAGACAGAGTTTACTTAGTTCTGCTCGCTGGCCTGACATGGCCTTCCCAGCCTATACTTAAACAGAGATCTCTAAATGTCTCCATTTGGAGGATTAAAGGCAGTTACAGACCGCTACACAGCTCTTCGAGGTGCCTTGCACATCATATGCCTCAGCGGAGTTTGGGAAGCACCCCCAAATAAAGCTTCCTATACCCCTGAAGTCAGGAAGTCCCTTCAATTCAAGCATTCACCAGGGTGGGGCCTTCAGGGGCAGCAGTAAGAAGCACACAGCTTGTTAAAAGAAATATTGAAAACCTAAACTTCCTGCAATGATCACTATTCACCATCAAGTCACTGAAAACCAGCTTTTAACCTTGGAGGCTTTTCTCATCAGCTAGGTAAGGCAGGACTGTATCGCCACCTCCTAGCTCTCTTTAAGAGGCAAGGGGATTAGAGATTGAAGGTTAGACACTGAATTCCATGAGCCCTCCCTAGGTCACCTGAAAGAAACATTTCTGGTGCTCAGAAGCAGCCCAGACTTTTGGTATGTTTCTGGGATGGGAATAGAGAAGGTCTCTGGCCGTCCACCATAGTCTCAGCATAGGCCTACAGGAAACTGCCCTGGGCTCCCTGTTCTGCCCCTGCAAACAGCTTGGCAGAAACCCAGACTTGGCCTCCCATCACCCTGCTGGGCAGTAGTGAGAGGATGAAGACACATCACGACAGCGCCATGGAAAATGTATACACTCAGGAGAAGGGCTGAATCCATCCAGAAGGACAAACAGAAAGGGTGGCCACCCTGAATTCTCCTGGATTCTTCCATCACTGCACATTCCTGACTGATCTAGAATCCAAGGAAGTAACTGTGCACCAGATCTATGTCAGACTCTCAAGTCTCTCACCCTTCCTGCCACACTCCAGAACAGGACATCTGTGAGTCAACCTTTACTAGAACACAGAGACCTCGTCCCAGGTGGTGGCTGCGGGGTCCTTTCCATGTTTTCACACCACCACTATCTCGCTGACAGCCATCACCTCCTACACAGTAATAAAGAAAGCACGCTTTTACTTTTCTAAACATTCAACTTGGATTTGTTTTTTTAATATAATAAAATTTAGTTGGGTTGAACCCTAATGATCTGATCAAACATTTTCTACTCCTGAAATAGGGATTAAAGGGTTTTTTTTCCTATAGTTTTATGCACTTAAACTAGATTCCTAAAATATTCTCATATACATACAGAAAAATAATCTCTCAATGAGAAGTCACATTTTACAATAACAAGTTAATATTTAGACTAGAGAATCTGTTAGTTTGTGCAACACTTAACAGTATAACCTCTTACATACCATATATACATTTAGTCATGGTCATTCCCATAAACACACAGCAGAGATTTCATGGCAAACCACTTAGGGCATACAATCTTATCAATTATATAGTGGAAGTCTACCTTTTTTTCTTTGCAGGAAAAAGTGTAAAATGCAGAAATCCAGAAGCTGTGAGCTGACTGCCAGACACAGGACACTTTGTGGAGGTTTCTCACCAGTACACGTGTATGTACGCCTCTGTTCATCTTCAGTACGTGTGAGGGCACAAAGTTGAGGGAGCTAAGGTAATAATACAACAGAGACCAGTGGTCCAGTGGTAGCCAGCTCCCCTGTGTGCACAGAGCTGTGCAGGGGACAGGAAGACATGGACTTCAGCTTGTGAGCTGCAGTGGACCAGATCTGAGGTTGGGTTATAAATAAGGCATGCTAGTTTAAATGCACGTCTAACCCTAAGTGTCATTAACAAATACCTCCCTAGAATACTTTCTGACACAAAGAATATTCAGCAGATAACATTTTGAGAAT